ATACCTGAGTTCTACAACATCCTGCTCAGTGTTTAGTGCGAGGCTAACACAATAATCAGTAATAAGTCATAAATTTCTTCCTTCAGTTTCAGAGTTTGGATTCTTTCAAATCTACTCCTTTTTTAACATCATAAAAGTAAAATCAAAGTCTAAAACTAAAGTTAGACCCGGAAAAGTCTTGTTTCAGATTTTAGACAAAGACACCGTCTCGTCTGGTCTGGATCATGGTCTGGATAATGGTCTGGATCGTGGTCTGGATCGTGGTCTGGATCATGGTCTGGACTGGACCCGCGAGGACTTGATGGTTCTCAGCAGGTGTCATAAGCCTCGTGCTCCACACTGCCCTCTAGTGCTGCAAAAATCTACTGCTGCTTTATACCTCCGCCCTGAGGCTCAGCGATCAGCGGCTTTGTTTGTGAACAAAAAGATATGGGACGATTAGAACGAAACGTTTGAAGGAAAGGAGACAGTTATTACATTTGAGCACAGAGCACAAGATATGTGAACAACAACGCTAGAGCTAAAAAAAAAAGTAAAATATCTAACATGATTAGATATTTTACTTTATTATGATTATACAGACAATGCTAATGTGCAGCTAACCCTGTTTTTTTATACTTTATATTTGTTTCATCCTGTATTGTTTAGTTAGTATTAGTCATGTATAGTCCTGTCTAACCTGAGCAGCAGACACAGGGACAACATGACAACTCCACTCAGGCCCTGTTTATACTGAGACGCTGCGTAGACGTTTCCAGGCTATTAACAGAAACGACCTGGCTCCTACCAGGAAAGAAAGGCCATTGCATTCCATCTGAGCGGCAAGAGGGTTAACCACTCAGACACTGTCTCTGGGACCAGCAGGAGGCCAGTCCCTGTGCTCCTCAGAGTACCAGCAGGAGGCCAGTCCCTGTGCTCCTCAGAGGCCCATTAGGAGGCCAGTCCCTGTGCAGGCCTCAGGACTGTCTCAGGACTATGTCTCAAGACTGGCCTGAGACAAATGTAGTAAATGAAGAGACTTATTATATTTTTTTCTCGTCTTTGCTCTCTGCGCATGTTAGAGTCAGTGAACAATTTTAATTTTCCTATTTGTTTTGACAGCTTTCTCTCCTCATGTATAGTCCTATATCTGAAGTTTACGATTATTCTGTAGATCTGTTTTTTATGGAACTGACTTGTCCATCCATCCATTTTCTGTCCCTTATTTCTGGGTTGAGGTGTCAGTCAGAGCTGCACCCAGTCCACATGAGCACCAGCCCCTCAGGAGGATCTGTGTCTGTGTCAGCACAGGGGTTAAGTGTCTTGCCCAAGGACACAACAACAGCAGCCATCATTGGGAGTCGAGAAGGTCTTGTGGTGGACTCAAACCCACGACCTTCAGGCTCAAAGGCCTGGTTTCCTTGTTTTGTTGTTAATGATTTGAGAATCATAACGAGACCTTTTATAGTTCTGCGCCACATGGTACTTTACCAGTGAGATTAGCTCCACGCGGTGAGTTCTGGCGCCCGGATCACAGACTTTCTGATTGATGAAACGGTGGAGGGCGGGACATCGAAATGAAAACAATAACAAGGCTGTGAATCCCCTGAACACTGTTGTTTTGTAAAAAAGCATGGTTCATTATTACGAGAGATTAGGGCCAACATTTAACTAAATGAATAAGAATTAAAATCATGCATTATATATTATTTTTAGACAAACTATTGATTTAGATTCAATTGATTGAGGTGAGCCTTGAACAATGATATTACATTTTATATTCTCCCCATGTAAATGAATATTAGGTCTATTTTATTATACATTATGATTAAATGAATTGTATTGATAATAATAATAATATTAAACAGTTTCAAACAGCTCTTTCCTGGACGCTCAGTCACTTTTCATTCACTCTAAACGATGAATCAAACTCACTCAAAGATTAAACATATTTTATACACAATATTCAGTTGTTTTTAGTCCATATCTGTGTTATCTTTATGTGACTTTTTTCTTGAATAACACTGGATGCTGTCAGGCCTTACAGAGCGGCTCTCAGACCAAACTGTTTCATTTATTTTCTGAATAAAACTCTGTTGGTTTGTGTCGAAAGGAGCTCATTCTCACAGTTACAGAGTTTTGTCTGTTTTTGATCCTCGCGTCGGTGAAAAGAATCAATCACTCCGACAAAAAGTAGAAGAAAAAGTCTGAGCATGAACTGAATTATCTTATTTGTGATTAATAATAATAGTAATGCATTGATTTTTATACAGTTCTTTTCTGGAGGCTCAAAGTTTCTTCACATTATTATTCTTTCGCTCCAAACACGGTGGTGATAAACTATTACTGTAGCCATAGCTGCCCTGGGGCACACTGACAGAAGTGAGGCAACCAGTCTGTGCCATCGGCCCCTCCCACCACCACCAACCATTCACAGACACACCAGACTCATTCTAATGTTGGGGAAGTGTCTTGCTTAAGGACTAGAGAGAGACCAGAGAGAGACCAGAGAGACCAGAGAGGGACTGAAGAGAGACCAGAGAGAGACCAGAGAGAGACCAGAGAGACCAGAGAGGGACCAGAGAGGGACTGAAGAGAGACCAGAGAGAGACCAGAGAGACCAGAGAGGGACTGAAGAGAGACCAGAGAGGGACTGAAGAGAGACTAGAGAGAGACCAGACAGAGACCAGTGACAGACCAGAGAGAGACCAGAGAGAGACCAGAGAGAGACCAGATGAATCCAGACTGGTCCAGCTTCGTTCCACAAACTGTTATCAGTTTAAACAGAGCACTTTAAATGATCTTGCATTTAAACAGTTTTTCTTAATCTTTTTGTTAACAGCAACAATTGTATTTGTTTTGTTTCTTTTATTTCTGTCTTGTTCACACTGGGGACTTTTGCAAATGTATTCCAATGTGCTTTTACAAATGGTAAATAAATGAATCTAAATCTAACAGAGAGGTTTTACAGGAAGTTTTTCAAGATGCTACCTGTGTTTTTTTGAAGATATTGTGTTTATCAAGAGTTGGTGTGTTTGCAAAAGTTAAAGCACGTCTGAACACAGGAACAAACAGAACCTACAGGAATAAAACTCTAAAACGCACACGATTTAGTTTTGCACACGCCTGGATTCATAAATAAACCCTGAAGAAGTATTTATCAAATCAATGAACTAAAATCTTCCCCGCTCTTCATTAAGGTATACGTTTTAGCACATATTGTTTTCAAACCATGTGGAACTATTGAGTCTGTCGTTAATATATCAAAAAAACAAATCCAAAATGATAAAAAAGTGCACGTGGAATGTAATTTTTATCATGTTTTTTTTTTCAACATTTACAACTATTTGAAACCAAAAAGTGACAGAATTGACCTGCATTTTCTTCATTCAAAATGTGACATAAATAAAGCATAATTATAAATATCTCTTTTATAAACATATAAATAGTTTTGAAACATAAATACATTTTTTGCAGGACCAGATGAAATACGTGAACGTACAGCAGCAGCGTCGGCAACAATTTACAGCTTTGCATTCAGTCGTTTTTACACCGAGTCCTCTGCGTGTACATTAGAACACTGTCGGAGGGCCATGGGTTCTCTGCTTTACAGGAGGGTTTGGGGTCGAGGGTCGAGGGTCGAGGAGCGGCGTCTCAGCCTCAGTCTGAGCAGATCCGGGTCACAGACTTTCACCCAGAAGTCGTTCACATGTTTGTTTTTATTCCTCAGGTGAGAACAAATGTCCAAACCCATCGTCCACAGATCTGTCAGAAGAAGCAGAGAGAGTTTAGAGCAGGAGTCCCCAACCTTTTTCACCCAGAGAGCTACTTTCTTGGGAAGATAAAGGTAGAGAGCTACTTTCCTGGGACGATAAAGGCAGAGAGCTACATTCCCAGGACGATAAAGACAGAGAGCTACTTTCCCGGGACAATAAAGGCAGAGAGCTACTTTCCCGGGACAATAAAGGCAGAGAGCTACTTTCCCAGGACCATAAAGGCAGAGAGCTACTTTCCCCAGGGCAATAAAGGCAGAGAGCTACTTTACCAGGATGATAAAGGCAGAGAGCTACTTTCCCTGGGACGATAAAGGCAGAGAGCTACTTTCCCGGGACAATAAAGGCAGAGAGCTACTCCTTTAACTACTCCTGGGAATTTTTTTTTTGTGATATACAGTATTGGTGTGAGGAAGCCTGACATTGGGTACAATTATTATTTATCATTGCATATTCTTTACTATAGTGACAAAGTGCATTTACAATCCTAAATTATGATAAAGAATAATAAAATCGGAAATATTAAGTATATTTTCTACATTTCTATATCCTTTGGATGAGCTACCTGGAGGGGGGCGGAGAGAGGCGTGTGGAGAGACAGAGCCCTCAGTCTAACGATGTGTGGATGAAAAACACTGACTCACAGATATACTGTAAGACAGTTTGGCTCCGACACATGCAGCTCGGAGCAGCCCGGAGCAGCTCGGAGCAGCCCGGAGCAGCTCGGAGCAGCCCGGAGCATCTCGGAGCAGCTCTGGACTAATTGTGCGTCACCCAAAGCTTCCTGACTCCTGCTGCTCTGCCCTAAAGAGACCGCGATAAAAGGTTTCCCAGAAGGATCTCCCACTGCTTTGTTTCAGCATGTGTCCCTTGTTCACTTTTAATCTAAAACTTGATACATCCTGTCGACTCATGAGGCTGTTGTTAGAAATGGCTGTAAAATGTTCTTTCAAAGACTAAAGACCAAAGAGACCGAGCCTCTCTCACAGGGTTTAACGTGTTCGACATTTCACCGTCACTCAATAAGACATAATACAATAATTAAATAATTAAACATTAATTACACACATCTCCCTCATGACTGTTTATTCTCCTTTTTCTACTGCTTTTCCAAAGATTATAACATTAGTGAAAATGAAACTGGTGCTTGTGTTGTATTGATAATAGTAACTTTAAACCTAATTATGTGTATTTAAATGTGTTTATTGTATTTAATGAGTAAAGAGTGTCACCTTCACAGCAGGGGTCCTAACAGCCCATGCCGCTGAGGGTTCCTATCCTGTCCATCTTGTGTCCGAAGCAGCCGCTCCTCGATGAGGATCCAGCTTTTTTATTCCCAGATTTGTGTCTGCGGGGCACGGGGTGGTCGTTGAGGAGCCGAGCCCACATGCCCCGGGCCCGGGTGTCCACGCGTAAATCCCGCAGTAACCGTATCCGTGAGCGCACATCCTCCAGCCGCTGCTCCCGCTCCTCCGACTCCAGAAAGTCCGCCAGCTCCTCCCCCAGCAGGGTCCGCAGGGTCTGGAACACAGCAGACTTCATCAGTATCATATTTACACAGATCTCGTCTAATAATGAGGATTTACACAGATAAAGTTTTAAATCATATTTACGCAGTAATAGTTCAATATAATATTTACACAGATCTCGTCTAATAATGAGGATTTACACAGATGTAGTCTGTGAGAATATAAGGATTTACACAGTTATAGTAATATTCACACAGATATAGTTAAATATAATATTTAGATATTGTCTAATAATGAGGATTTCGGTCTGTTCTTCCAAAAGGACCTGAAGCAGGTGCTTCGCTTCGTTCTTTAAAATGGAAACAATCTGCGGAGAACTTCATTTACGGGAATGTTTGAGTTTGTTTTTGATCCAAAATCATGTTTAACGCAAGAGTCACGCAAGAGGCACACTCAGACTTTTCAGTCCGTACCTTTTGCTGTGTTTGAGATAATAAAACAGTCCTTACCTTTTGCTGTGTTTGAGATAATAAAACAGTCCTTACCTTTTGCTGTGTTTGAGACAAAGGTTTTGCGCCGGTCTTCAGAGAAAGCAGCGTGAGCAGAAGTCCACATGCGACTAAATAAGACCCGTTCATCTTTCTGCAAACTGTGGCCAATCAGCTGCTCTCTGTCTCTGCTCCTGAGCTCCTCTAACTCGGTCTGATGTCTCAGAGCTTTATATCCAACCCATGATGACGTCATAACAACCTGCGTAATGGTGCTTCCTCTCCTGCCCCTGCCTCAGAGCCAAACTCCTGTAATGTGACATCACAAGACTGTAGATCAGAGAAAACAAAGCCCTTTGGCTATAGATCGACCTCATAAAACATCTGGAAGAAGATGGAATTATTATGTTAAAAGAATAATAAATAAAAAATAAAAAAGTCTATATATGGTGTTTGCTTTGCCCAAAATTACAGGAATATTGTAAATAGCAACAAATAATCAGGAACAAAAATGTGTCGCTTCTTTAGTTCAATAGTTTCAAAAATCCGTGCATTAAAGAGTCCTGCATTTAGTAATGATTAATTTAACCCATGTAAACCCATGAGTCTGTAACAGCTTCATGGTCCTTCATGGTCCTTCATGGTCCTAAAAGCCCTGTGTTCCGTCTGCAGCTTCTGTGTCTTTAAATGTAATTTTTTACAAGGATTTGACACATTCTTTTGTGATGCCACAAGTGTCAGTGTGTGTGTTGTGTGTTGTTGTGTGTTGTTTAATAAAGAACATTCTTTCCAATGACTTCACTCTGAGTTAAAGCTTTTCCCTTCATGTCCTTCTTCATGTTCAGCTCCTTCTATTTTAACTTTTTTGTATAGTTCGAAGCGTGGGGTCATGCTCTGTTCTTCAGGTCTGTTAGAAACCTTAAAACTGTTTCAGTTTCTTTCCAAAAGACAGAAGAAATTGCTGCGTTTCATTCGGGTGGCCTGCAGGGGGCGCTTATCTGGAAAAGCCACCTCGCCGCCTCATTCCAGGGATTTTTTCAAAGTGTCCTTCTTTATATGAGACCGCAGATAGAACACGGACAAATCTCTTGTCTTTCTCTCTATTTGCGCGATTGCTACAAGCGTACACCGAACAAAAAGATGGCATTTTGACAGCGCTTCTTCTTCTACTATATCTCCGTATATAAATCCAGCAGACTGCACAGGGTACGTCACGTCCAGTCCTACGTTTGTTATTTGCGCCACTGCCCTGATGTCATATGACCCCCAAGGATATCTGAACTTTGTAAAGTGCTTTGGGTCTGTACCTTGTCTGTAAAAATGCGCTAAATAAAGAAATAAATAATAATAATACATTTTCATTTTAATGCACTTTATATTTCCAGGAAACCAGTACAAAAAAACACTGACAAGAGAAGAACAAAAAAAAAAAATCAAAAAGAAACATGGAGTAAAAAACTGAATAAACCACTGCCTTAAAATACGTGTAAATATCAACACACACATGAATCCTACACGAACGCACACATGATTCCTACACTGACGGACACATGAATCCTATGCTAACACACACATGAATCCTACACTAACGCACAGATGAATCCTACACTAACACAAACATGAATTCTACACTAACGCACAGATGAATCCTACACTAACACAAACATGAATCCTACACTAACGCACAGATGAATCCTATACTAACACACATGAATCCTACACTAAGACAAACATGAATTCTACACTAATGCACACATGAATCCTACGCTAACGCACACATGAATCCTATACTAACACACATGAATCCTACACTAAGACACACATGAATCCTACGGTAACACACATGAATCCTACGCTAACGCACACATGAATCCTACACTAACGCACACATGAATCCTACACTAACACAGACATGAATCCTACACTAACGCACACATGAATCCTACACTAACGCACACATGAATCCTACACTAACGCACACATGAATCCTACACTAAGACACACATGAATCCTACACTAACGCACAGATGAATCCTACACTAACACAAACATGAATTCTACACTAACGCACACATGAATCCTACGCTAACGCACACATGAATCCTATACTAACACACATGAATCCTACACTAAGACAAACATGAATCCTACGCTAACACACATGAATCCTACGCTAACGCACACATGAATCCTACACTAACACACACATGAATCCTACACTAACACACACATGAATCCTACACTAACGCACACATGAATCCTACACTAACGCACACATGAATCCTACACTAACACACACATTTATCCTACACTAACGCACACATGAATCCTACACTAACGCACATAAATTCTACACTAACACACACATGAATCCTACGCTAACGCACACATGAATCCTATACTAACACACATGAATCCTACACTAACACACACATGAATCCTACACTAACACACATGAATCCTACGCTAACGCACACATGAATCCTACACTAACACACACATGAATCCTACAGTAACACACACATGAATCCTACACTAACGCACACATGAATCCTACACTAACGCACACATGAATCCTACACTAACGCACACATGAATCCTACACTAACACACATGAATCTTACACTAACATACACACATGAATCTTACACTAACGCACATGAATCCTACACTAACACACACATGAATCCTACACTAACATACACACATGAATCTTACACTAACGCACATGAATCCTACACTAACATACACACATGAATCTTACACTAACGCACACATACAGTAAATCCTACACTAACACACATGAATCCTACACTAACACACACATGAATCCTACACTAACACACACATGAATCCTACACTAACGCACACATGAATCCTACACTAACACACATGAATCCTACACTAACGCACACATGAATCCTACACTAACGCACACATGAATCCTACACTAACACACACATGAATCCTACACTAACGCACACATGAATCCTACACTAACGCACACATGAATCCTACACTAACACACACATGAATCCTACACTAACACACACATGAATCCTACACTAACGCACACATGAATCCTACACTAACGCACACATGAATCCTACACTAACACACACATTTATCCTACACTAACGCACACATGAATCCTACACTAACGCACATGAATTCTACACTAACACACATGAATCCTACGCTAACGCACACATGAATCCTATACTAACACACATGAATCCTACACTAACACACACATGAATCCTACACTAACACACATGAATCCTACGCTAACGCACACATGAATCCTACACTAACACACACATGAATCCTACACTAACACACACATGAATCCTACACTAACGCACACATGAATCCTACACTAACGCACACATGAATCCTACACTAACACACACATGAATCTTACACTAACGCACATGAATCCTACACTAACACACACATGAATCTTACACTAACGCACACATACAGTAAATCCTACACTAACACACATGAATCCTACACTAACACACACATGAATCCTACACTAACACACACATGAATCCTACACTAACGCACACATGAATCCTACACTAACGCACACATGAATCCTACACTAACACACACATGAATCCTACACTAACGCACACATGAATCCTACACTAACGCACACATGAATCCTACACTAACACACACATGAATCCTACACTAACGCACACATGAATCCTACACTAACGCACACATGAATCCTACACTAACACACACATGAATCCTACACTAACACACTCATGAATCCTACACTAACGCACACATGAATCCTACACTAACACACACATGAATCCTACACTAACACACATGAATCTTACACTAACATACACACATGAATCCTACACTAACACACACATGAATCCTACACTAACATACACACATGAATCTTACACTAACACACATGAATCTTACACTAACGCACACATACAGTAAATCCTACACTAACACACATGAATCCTACACTAACACACACATGAATCCTACACTAACACACACATGAATCCTACACTAACGCACACATGAATCCTACACTAACGCACACATGAATCCTACACTAACACACACATGAATCCTACACTAACGCACACATGAATCCTACACTAACGCACACATGAATCCTACACTAACACACTCATGAATCCTACACTAACGCACACATGAATCCTACACTAACGCACACATGAATCCTACACTAACACACATGAATCTTACACTAACATACACACATGAATCCTACACTAACACACACATGAATCCTACACTAACATACACACATGAATCTTACACTAACACACATGAATCCTACACTAACATACACACATGAATCTTACACTAACGCACACATACAGTAAATCCTACACTAACTCACATAAATCCTACACTAACACACAAATGAATCCTACACTAACACACACATGAATCCTACACTAACGCACACATGAATCCTACACTAACGCACACATGAATCCTACACTAACACACACATGAATCCTACACTAACACACACATGAATCCTACACTAACGCACACATGAATCCTACACTAACGCACA